CTAATACCTACTTCGATTATATTACTTCAAATGACATGAAAATAGAGACTGCAAATTACATTTATCTTATATTTTATTGAACTTGACAAGTGCTACAATTACATGTACAAACTTAAAAGTTATGTTGGTTTTCTGATTCTATTGAAAATAAAACTATCTTTTTATTTTTATTTTAATTGAGGGTTTATCAGGTACATGTACTATACTTGAAAGTGATATTTCCTCCATTATTATTGAGTATGCAGCAAGCAAATTTAACAAAATCTAATCTTTAGTGCAGTTTATAGTTGTCATGCAGGATAACATTTTGCAAATTTTCAATACCTTTCTTGATAAGGCTTTTAGGTTAAGGAATTACTACGCTTAATCTAGTAAGTTCAGGCCAGCCGCTAGGAGTAGTTCGGTGTTTCGAATGAACAAACCCCCACCCTCTCCCTCTCCACCTTTGTAGGAGTATGAAATAATGTTTAGCGCTATCCTAGTTATTCAAGAAATGGCATAACAAAGATAGGTAGAAAAACGAACCTCCCGTTTCAAGATCCTAGCAACGGGCCTGCAGTTTACAATCCTTGTTTTTCAGTACATCACAGAAGTATGATATACCTAGATCAGTAAGCTTAAAGTTTTCATCATTTTCATACAATTGAAGTATAAATATTGCATTTGTATTTTAAGTTTTATCTGATGACTTAAAGAATTTAATTGTTAAGACATGGGAATAACAAGTTATTCTGTTAATTTGCAGTTCACATGCTTCAATACCTTACAAACACATAATATTTCTTTATCTGCTATATCTTGTATGAACGTCGAGCTTCATAAGTTTGCAATTTTTATTTTTAAGTGCAATGTGGTAATATCGCATGGTAAGTGGTAATCGACTTTACAAGTGCTCAAATGAACCCAATGCACCTAGGCATAATATTTTTCCATTTCAGATCATATTCATGTGTCTTGTCATGCATAACCAGTAAACAAAGAGATGATACTCTAGGGAATGACATGTGGTYTGAAATGGGAAAACAGTGGATTAGGTCTATTACAAGCTTTTAAAAGTTATGTTGATTTTCTTATCCCTAGAAACAAAGCTATCGTTCTATTTTGATTATTGAAGGCTGTCTAAAAAGTAACATACTTGAAAGTCTTATTTCCTCAACCTGGCCAGATTCATCCTTAATAGCCAAGACCCTGTTGTTATCATGATTCAAAATACTGCACGTTTTCAGCAAATGTTAATTTTGTGTTGTTTGGAGGTTCCAGAGTAAGCTCTTCAATTTTACAGTTTTCATGCAGGATAGCCTTTTCCAAGTCCTTAAGGATACTTGTTGTTCCCTTATCTCTTTGTAAGAGTGTCAGTTTGGTAAGTTTACAATTTTTATGTTTGAGTGCTTTACAAATTTGTGAACATGCATGTGATATGCTAACTTCATGTCTCAACAACAGGTCTGTCAGCTTACAGTTTTCATCCACAAGAGCATCATATAACTAATATATTCTTTAGAAATTGCCTATTCAATTGTTCGTTGATGTGTAAATTCCTTTCATTGCTGCAGACTGTAGTCAAATTCTAAAGAATAATTACACGCTGACGAGGCTGAGGTTGAGTAACGGGATCCGTGAAATGGCCTATTACAAGCTTTAAAAAGTTAGGTTGGATTTCTGATTCTTAGAAATATAACTTCTATAATCTATAATTATCTTTCTATTTTGATTTTGTATGGGTTTCCMTCAAACGCCATACTTGAAAGTGCTATTTCCTCATACTGACTGTCAGAGTCACCCTTTTTAGCT